TGAAATTGCCTCAATGGTCTTTTTCCGTGGGTTGTTCTTCGAAGATAAAAAGTTTGTATTGTGGAAGAGGCAACAGCTTTTTCTCCAAGTAATTTATGAATTTCGAATGCCATTTTGTTAAACGAAAATGTTGGTTCCAATTGTCCTCCAATGGATAAACATCCATTAGAAAATTAGTGTTGTGAAATTAAAACAAAAATATCTCTAGAAGAAACATATCTTAAAGATTAAAAAGCACCTTAACTTTAGCCTGGTATAGCAATTTAATGAACAAGGTGCTTAAGTTTACAATTGCTGTTACCTTGTTGATATCTAAGAGAAAATTCATGTCAACGTCAAAACAAATAATTGGTGTTTGTGTAACTTTACTTATACTATAAAAAATCACCATTGCCATGTCCCATGTCTGATTCTTGACCTTATAGGTATTGATTCTAACTCTCAACACCAATTCCTACAACTCACCTTTAAAGATAAACATTTAGCTTCTAATCCAGTCAAAATCCAAGACAAACCCATCAGTAATATATTTTGGGATAGTTATAGTCTAATCAGTTATTACTATCCTCATATCGTTTTTACGCCCCTATAGTCATTTTAAGCTCTCCTGGAGACGGTTTTTTTGACGAGATTATAATCATCCCGGTTTTTCAGGTACGATGGGATTACGTTTGTGTCTGGGATGACTTTGCATTTGCGTCGTCATTTGAGATAGCTGGAAAAAATTTTGTTATTTGACCAAGTGAGCGATAAAAAAAAAGTCGCGTCCCTAATCGCGTTTTGATCGGTTATTTGGTCAAAGCGAGTGACATTGAGATCATGTAGGATTGGCTGCACTACGCCTCGTTCGCGCCAGCAGATTCCTTACAGAATAATTTTTTCTACGTCTTCTTGCGGCTGATAAGCAGAATTTTTAATTGTTCACTCACTGTTTTGCCGCGCATTGTAATTCGAGTTACGATGACTTTGCATTTGTGTCGTACTTTTCGATAATCTCATAGTTTGCGTTAATAAAATTACTCGAGAAATAAAAACGCACAGTTTTGCCATTCGAGTTTATGAGCCAAGGTATTATCAAATAATGTATAAATTCTATTTGCGGAGCAAAGGCACTTACGTGCCCTCATAATCTTAGATCGATTAAGGATATATATTGCCATTCTCTCTTTCCACCACTATACGCGCTTGAATCCGATTAATGTCGGTTTGCGATTTTTTTTCTCGAAAATAATATTATGTAACGGTTTTTTATTATTAGTTTTGCACCAAGTGAGATACTCGTGATACAAATTTGCACAATTAGATTTGGAAACATTCTCGGACCATATAAAATGTAACCAATTATAAATTGAGGGCGCCTTTGCTCCACAAATATAATTGGGATAAACTGGAGATAATTGCTGGTTGATATCATTTATTTGCAGAGCAGAGCCATATAAGTGGCCCCCTTCATCAGCTGTATAATATTCGTCATCAGAGTTTATCTCACACTGCTCTTGCCGGCTCATCTTAATTATGTCTTTTTATGCCTTCAATATTGTTACCATGAAGAAAAAAAAAGCTTTTTACGTCTGGGCTGTACGACGTATCGGTTTGTGCGACCTGGCAGGTAAATTCCTGATAATAATAATCTATAGATGTAATGAAAAAATTACGCGATGTAAATAAATATCTTAAAATAAAAGCCGTTCTAATTACCTCAGAATCTCATATGAGGTATTATTGGTTGTCTTCAAGTAAAAAGAAATATTTCGGGGAACAATAGTTACATTGTGAAAGGTCTGCACTAGTGTATTAATTAGATCATATCACGCAGCACATCTTAATCTTTCCGCAGAATCAAACCATGACAACCATCGAGGAAGTAAACCAGAAAATCGGAGAACTTGAAAACGAATTAACGAGATTAAAACAACACTTGGGTGTGAGAAGGGGAAGGACCTTCTTAACCCCCTCTATACAGAAAGGGCAGAGCAGCAGAAGCAGCAGACTGCACTCTTAGGGCAGCCAGGTAACGACTTTGTGACTCGGGCGTTGGGGTCATAGAGTAGTGTGTGTATAGGTAGAGTAGATGTGGTAATATGCTTCTTCGTTTATGAAGTGTTTCAATTTGAATTGTACTCATGTTCACAATTTGTTGTTATCAGGGCAACATATTAAGCTGTCCATCCTATTTACTCATTCATTCTTTATTTTCCTTCCAAGGACGGCTTACTATTACTGTTGAAGAAGCTTTTGAAAGTGCCACCAAAGATGTTGTACAATCCAACTTTCGATAAAAGCAGGACTACTACAAAAACTGAAGGCACCCCACTGACAAAAGTAGCACTTTTGGGATGATGTCTTTAATGACTTAGATCAATATTGTGAAACACTTGAGTGCACAAGGAGCCAACTTTCAAACCATATGAAGGCATACAGGTGTTTGTGCAGGTCTAGAGCTCAATGTTCTAAGGGCATTGAACAAAATTTTGAGACCACACTTTATTATAACAGGAAAAATAAGGTATTGATATGAACATGCATTGTTATTGTTACAGAAGATAGGAACTGATTTCATTATCTGCAGATGTCTAGAGCTGTGTCACTTTGTAATGCAAATGCCAGAACTGATCTGTCAGATGAGGAGTCAAGTCAAGCAAATTGCAAATCTGTTTGTAGTTCCTTTGCTTGCAAAGCACTGGTATTTCTTGCAAGCATCAGTCTTCTTAAACTAGCATTCAGTGCCCTCAAGTTTGACCTTATCTGCATTGCTGAGTATCAGATTCACATTGTGTGTACTTCTTTCCTGCAAACATGTTAGTACTTCTTGAGCCAGCGCTTGTGTCACAGTGCAAGCAATTTCTACCATTAGAGACGACATTAGAGATCATAGTGAACGGCAGTTGAATATTTCCAATCGTAAGTTTATTAGTTGTTTTCTATCGTATTTGTTATTCGATTCTATAATAATAAGTATTATTCCACCGTAAGAGTTATTCCATTATTCCGTTGGAGTCTCCGACCAAATCCTAAGTGGAAAAGGTACAGAAACTATTTGAATTTGGTTGTTTATATATCTAAATTGCTACTGCGGTATGCTATTCAAAAATCTAAATGGTCCATAGCTATTGCTAAAATATTGATTCAACGTCACTAAATTTACGTCAGATTTACATGTTTGTGTGATACATTTAAAAGTGATCATCTGGCGTACTAATAATATTATTATTATTAATCGTTAATCGTTAATCGTAAATCGCAATTCGTCGTATAACAATATAGTAACTTTGCAAATAGTATAAAAAATGTACATTAATACTAACCGAAAAGTGTATTGTAAAAATGGAAAAGCCATCATTGGAATAGTTTTCTCTTATATAGTTATAAGCATCTTTTGAAAGTAAAATCAATTTTTTGTAATCATCTTCCTCATGTTTGAGGGAAGCAGTTGTAGGTTCAAAAGGACCAGAAGATACGTCTGCAAAAAATACTTCTATAAGATGATTCTTCACACTAAGACATCCTTTTATATCTGGCTTTTTGTCTGGCCAATCCTTCTCTGTGGGTTGTATTGTAATTCTTTTCTGATGCATTCATAGCTTTAGATGCATAAGCTATGGCATAATCAGCCTGGTCTTCTTGATCTATTACTATCTGTGATATGATTGCTCCTAATCCGACATCTGATGTGGACCCTTCCTTGAATTACGATTTTGTGTGCTTTCACTGGAGCTATAATCCCTTAAATACATATATTCAGAGTAAGAATGAATTTGAGAGAAACACAAATTTCTTACCACTCTACCGCAAACTCATCTATTACTATATCATGAAAAATCAGCCTTTTTATACCATTAACAACATCATGTTTCCATGTTGATTCCATGACTCGCTTATTCTTTCTCTTATAAAGAAAATTTTTATTGGTAGTCATTCTATATTAAAAAATAAAATTTAATATAAAATGGTGGTTGAAGCAATGTATAAAAAATAGAAAATCTTACATGGCCTTTATAAATTCATTTACGGTCTCGAAATCCAAAAGATATTTTTCTTCAAGATCAGAGGGGTATTAGTATGGTGGCATAACTTTTGATACGAGTCTTTGTCGTATAAAGTTTCTCAAGTCCCGAATTATTCTTTTATCCCATAGCAATTTACATGGTTGTTGTTTAGAAACTGATTTCCAAAGATCCGCCTCAATTACTATGTGAATTTGGTACTGTTGTGAAGTTAATTGATTGTATTTTTCGAAAAAAAATAGTGATATGTTCAGTTTCGTTATCGTACTAAAGCAGCTGTTCGGTGAAGTGATAGCATATATGTGTAACATGATACCAGCCACTTCATCGAGCAGCTGCTTTAGTACGATAACGGAACTGAACATATCACTATTTTTTTCGAAAAATACAATCAATTAACTTCACAACAGTGCCAGAATCATTGTAATTCACATAGTAAATACGTACAATCGAGATTTTAGAAAAGAAAAAAAAAGAAGATTTTTCATATGTTTTACTAGGAGTGTCAAATACTTTTGGCAGGGGTGTACACGAATTAATACTCCAAAATCATAAAATCCGATCAATTACCTCATGGTAAGATAATCGATCATCTTTCGGTGACGTCATCATACGTTAAATTTTCGGACGCGAAAATCATAATAATAATAATAATAATAACAATCCTACATACAACTACTAATACCTTTGGTTTCTTCACCGAAGTTACTACTATATAAAAGTTTCAAACCAGGTGATTTTATTCGAGTTTTATACATGTCCAGCATCACAACCCAGCGAAATTTTGGTGAGTCATGTTTGATTTTTGGAGCACGCTAATATATATGATATACATTTATTTTTCCTACATGTATGTAACTACTCAATCCATCCTTCCCACAAGACATCCTTGCGAATAAAACTTTCTCTCTACATCGATGCACACCTTTATATAAATTCCAAAGAAATAATCTGACCAAGTATGGGGAAGAACTCTATGCGTTTATTGTTGGACAAATGACAGATCCAACCACCGTGATTATGGAAGAGGAGGCCGATGTGTTTAATGGACGTGTAATTAGTGTCCAAATTACGACGATTAATTCTTCCGAATGGACAGGTATATGAAATGGATTATGATTATATATGGTATCATTTCGTTAACAGGTGCTCTTGAATAGGATTGACTGGGAGTCCGTTGATCGCAGAGATCATATATAAACCGCGAGGTAAGCATTCTTGAATTTCGGCATGAATTAATACGTTTGTTGATAGTAATTGATATGCAATGCAAGGGCGTGCGGCTGAACAAGCACTTTACTTGATTCTCTTGCCTGACGTAAATGGGGATGAGGCAACCGAAGACGATTGTAAGTTGGTAACACCCATGTTTTACTTGTTAACCGCTTATATGTAATACCTACTTTTGACGCTAGTTCTGTAACTTGATTCTTTTTATGTCGGAAATCGTTTCTCATATGCCTAGCTATGTTCACCCGCTTCCCAATGCTTCTTATTAAGGCACCGCAGAAGTTAGCTGAAATTATTTTCGAATGGCTTCAGACAAGATTTGATTGCAGAATATGTCGATACAGATTACAATCGACACAATTGAGGTTTATTACTGAAGAGTGGGCGAAGAATGCATTCGGACAGGGTAAGAAGGACGGAAGAGAACCGAGTTGATGGAGTTTGTAAGGTGGAACAAAAACATTCATGGTAATTTCTTTAGAGCAACATGAAGCAAACAATGTCAAGTCACTTGAACTGAGTTACAGTCTTCCAAATATTGACGAGCTAAAAACAATGACAGTGAATATACCATTCGAAGACGTTAAATGTATATACAATGGGTAAGTGCACATGTAATCCAACTTCCATGCAAAATAATAAATACTCACAATTATCCTTTCCTACGTCAAATCCAACGCAGGTGTATGACATCCTCAGAAACAGACAAGAGTAATTATTCAATTGTTATGTGTATTATTGGAACCAATTTTAGAATGTAACACGGTTTTCGTCCCGCTTGAGTAGAACTCATGCAAGCCATCGAACATCATATCTTTCACATATCACGAATCAAATTGTCTTCATTGGTACTCTCGCGTGTCGGAACAAATGCGATTTATTTAGCTGGTGAAGGGAAAGCGAAAGTAAGTTATGGTAGAGTATGGAGTTCTAATCAATTGTAAAATATTCTAATTTATTATGTTGTTTGTAGTTTTTCTTGTTGAAGGATACGAATACGACCGTAAAGATACTCGAGCAGTTGATTATCATGGCCAAGTAACAGAGCACTCAATATACTTCGTAAACGTAGTATTAATGAAGCTGACATATTAAACTTAAGAATTAGACAACTTTTTTTACGTTAGTGTACAAAAAAAAACGTTACTGACTGTTAATTCTGTCGTATTATAATACGTAACAAGTTACCGTACTCGTACATTTTATCCTAATATTCACCGCCTTCTAGCATTTGCGTCCAATCCCACTTTTTCCATTTTTTCACAAATTCTTGTACGCGTTTATGTTTATCACGAGGATTCAGTTTCTTGGGCTTACGCCAGCGATCCGGTGGAAGATCGCACATTCCTGCGATAATTTCCTACGTGATTTCACTGATTAGCTATCATATCAAAGGGATAAAGACAACGGCTTCCTTCTGACTCACCTTTCCAAACCATCCCGGAAATTTCTTCTCGTTTTCAATAACGTGACCCATTCCCCCATCAACATTAAACCACACATGAAAATACGGTAACTCCTTCACCATTTTATTTCGAAAGCCTTTCGTCGTATCGACTACCTTTTTATTCTGCGACCATTCACCGGCAGTAGACAATATCGCTTCTCGGAAGAATGCCGGAGCGTCCTGAGATAGATTCCAGGGAAGTGGAACGCATTCAATTACGGAATGCTTTTGATGTTTGAAAGATATTACGGTTTCGAAAAACAGTACGCCACGGTCTTCTGAGTGAAACATTTGTATCAGACATTTCATAAAGTTCTAGGTGGTTTGAGATGTAAGTTATTAAACCATAAGCTAAACGCATGAGTAAGTAAGCGTGAAAGCTGACGTTTAATCAAAGATATTACACGCTAACCACAATCAAAGTCACGTTTCAACGTACTCTAATCTCATCCCAAACATCATCGTCAAGTTCCAAAGTGGTTAGACAATGCTGAATCGGTACAATAAGACAATGGCCGGAAGTCATTTCGGTTACAGTGCTTAGGGCCAAATATGTCTTTGTTCCGAGAGAGACCATAGGTGCAACAGGCGATTTGTCTTCGCCAAAACAGTAAGGGCAAGAATTGATGAAATCCTGAGATCTTTTGAAATCTGAAAAGGCATAGGAGAACGAATAAGAAACGATAAGAATATATATATAGGATATCATCTTGCTATTCACTCACACCTTGAACAGCAAACTGTCGCTTCTGCTCGATAGTTTGTTCCTTTCCTTTTGCCATCTTATCTGCATGTTCGTCCAAATAATCCAAATCATCCTAAAACGATAAAAAGATTCATAAAATCCATCTCAGTTAACTCTCAGCCTAATCCCGCAACCAGGCTAGGATACACGAAATCCAGTTTGCAGACTACGAACCTCGAACTTTTTATCACCCATGATCCTCCCGGCCATCTGCACGTCCATCGATTTTCCCGTTCCCAGACGTTCTTGCATAACGAGATCTTGAAGCTGAAGCTTATCGTCACCTTTAAAGTAGCGAATTCGGGTCCCAGTTTCATCGTGTGTATCAATCTTGAATGATAATGGATGAAGGCAAAAATGTGAACATCGATAAAAAAGATTGAAATCGTGCATGAAAATGGACGGCGTCGAGATTTAACCTTTTCATTTCGCTTTTGCCGCGGCGGGCCAGCGTGTTTAGGCGATGAGGACGATGCAGAAGGATTAGTAGTGTCGTACAACCTTCCCCTACTGTCGACTATCGGCACAATTTCCACTTTATCCTATTCGTTCAAAACAACCGGAATTAGACCTTGTATATTTTACATGCAATATAATCTGTAAGTTTCTCTTCCCAACCCGTTTGTATTCGTACATTTCCCTCAGCTCGTTTTTTTTCCATTTCGTAATTCTTCTCTAATTCTTTGGCGTTTGGCGAATTCATGAGGCTGGCACGCAGTGCTTTGGCTTTTAGTTTGTTCAATTCATCTGCCGATAAGATTGGATTGGATGCTAATCGTGGAGCCACGGATGGTATTAGCTGTGTGCGGTAATGTATGCGAGCATCTGATGGTGAGCCGGACGGTACTCAAAACAGAAATGTCGAACTGTTAGCTAAACAAGATCATTGGTATAACTGTCACTAGGGATAATTTCTTACTTTTTTGTTCATAATTTTCCACCTCGTGAGGTAACTCTACTTTCTTCTCCACCCATATGGCTTCGCTGTCTTCATCCGTATTCGAGCAAGAGTCACTGCTGGAACTTTCTATATCCCTCTCTTTACGTTCACGTCGTTGTCGTTTTCTCGTTCTTTCCTTTTCCTGATTCTTATTTTTCCGATCGGATTTTTTGCGCTTTTTGTGAGTTCTTTTTTTTGAACCTTTAGTTTTTTCTGAAGTTCTTTTCGTCGAGTTAGACTTGTTTGAGGGTAAAGTTTCCATTAAGAAGAATCACAGCTTTTGATCGATCCATGTCAGAATAAAATATTTCAACTCTGTGATCATATGACAAATTCTAGACCCTTTTTTATTTTGGCGACAAAATCAATAGTAATAGAAAAAAAACCAACATTTTCCTGATTCACGTCAGGAATAACATCCAGTATGGAGCCTTCATAAGTTTACCTCATCTTTAATTTTCCGGCAATGTTCAGCATACGCTTATCAAACAGACTGTTCATGATTGTCTTGTCATAAGATGCAGTCACAAATACAGTTGATTCAATTGGATGCCAGAGAACTGACTGGACCTTGTCTTTGT